TTCCAATAAGGCCGACATTTGATATGTGCAATTCACCTTATTATGCAATCGCAAAGTGGCTGGCGGACAAACTGAAACCGATTCGGCGCCAGAAATCAGCTGGGCTTTAAAAACGCGCTTGATCTCAATGATCTGAGCAACCTAAAAGCCTAATGGAACTCTAATGGAATAAGATATGATTATGCGGACGAAGGCCGTCCATAAAGCAGACTGTGAGGACGTTTCGCCACGGGGAAGGCAGCACAATGTTGGAATGCATGTGAAGCCTTCTAAATAGTTCTGCGAAAATTCGCATGTGAGGATTGAGAATTTAGATTGGCTTTGTTAATATTAAAATCGGATCTTTAAACTATACATGATGCAGCATGAGTCCTGTCTTTAGTCGGGACCACTCGAGTAGCACACTGTCGTTAGCACAGGTCGGTAAAAGCGTGTGACGTGGAATAAATAAGAGAAAAGTAATGAAGCATACTGAAAATATCAAGTTTTTTGTTACTTAAACAAATGTAAGGAACTGCCGATCCACTCACAGATTGCTCACACGCGACACAACCCGTCAGAAATTCGTGGGCTTGATTAGGCGCACAGGGGATATTTAAGGGTGTCCGTGCCTTCTGTTTGCGCAATGCCGTCGATATTGAGTCCTCAAGCAGGAATACGATTGTTGAGAGGCTAAAGTAAACCACAATGCGAGAGACTTACACAGTAAGCACAATGAAGGAGATAGAGATTATCCGCTTGGAACAGTGTTCAATCATGGGGTGGTAGCTGGGCAACAACCTTGAATGAGCCAAAGAAGACAATTAGAGACAATTCACATACAGAGAGGAAATTTGTTAGTGATTGTTTAAATCGTTATCATTACAATACCGGAGTGAAATGATTAAACTAATAACAGAAACAGAAAAAAAAAAGAATTCAATTGGTTGCGCAAAGTACCGACACGGGATCCGTTGTCGAGATCGGAAAAGCCAGCGGGGTTCATTTTATTCAGATGTCGAAAATGGCTCTATCTGGCACGCGCAATAGTAGTGTAGAGATTTAAAAGGACTGGAGTATGAGAAAAGCAGGTAAGTACATACGGAAAGCTACATAGACTAACGGAATAATGCGACTTTTAAATGCTTAATGTCCCATCGGATAAGAGACTATAGGACGGAGGGGGGGGG